GTGTTAAACCAAAATTATCTGTCATTTCTTTTAGTTTCTTTCTGTTGCTTTTATTATCCCAATTTACATTTAAGCCTCCCATTAGCACAAGTTCATTGTTGAGGTCGCAAGAATTCAGAAGTGCCTTGAATTGGTCATAAAAATCTACTTTTGCCAAAGGTGGGCAATAAAACAGTAAATGACATTTCTGCTGAGAGTGACACTTTAACTTCAACACATTCAACAGAGATTTCATTTGGCCAGATTATTTGTGTACATTTTAGAGAGTCCTTCATATACAATAACACCCCTCCCCCCTTTCCTTGATGTCTGTCTTTTCTGAAGACATTGTAGCCCTGTAGGGTTACCAGTGCTTGTGGAGAAGAGGGTTTGAGCCAAGTTTCCGAAAGTCCCGTGAAATCAACATTTGAATTAATGAGAAGATGTTCCAGTTCCACGGTGGCACGGTGGTTAGCACTGTTGCCTCACAGCAAGAAGGTCCTGAGTTCAATTCCACCATCATGGTGTTAGCCCAGGGAGCTGCTGTAGCCAAGGAAATCCAAGGAAGCAGTGATGGTGTTAGCCCAGGAGCTGCTGTAGCCAAGGAGCAGTGATGGTGTTAGCCCAGGGAGCTGCTGTAGCCCAGAAGCAGTGATGGTGTTAGCCCAGAGGAGCTGCTGTATCCAAGGAAGCAGTGATGGTGTTAGCCCAGGGAGCTGCTGTAGCCAAGGAAGCAGTGATGGTGTTAGCCCAGGAAGCTGCTGTAGCCAAGGAAGCAGTGATGGTGTTAGCCCAGGAAGCTGCTGTAGCCAAGGAAGCAGTGATGGTGTTAGCCCAGGAAGCTGCTGTAGCCAAGGAAGCAGATGGTGTTAGCCCAGGGAGCTGCTGTAGCCCAAATGGCAGTGATGGTGTTAGCCCAGGAAGCTGCTGTAGCCAAGGAAGCAGTGATGGTGTTAGCCCAGGGAGCTGCTGTAGCCAGTGGCAGTGATGGTGTTAGCCCAGAGAGCTGGGGTTTTTCTCTGTATGTATTATTGTAGGGTTGACCTTACAGTATAAAGCACCTTGAGGCGACTGTTGTTGTGATTTGGCGCTATATAAATAAAATTGGATCGAATTGAACCTTTCTTGCTAATATTAATTACAACTCAGCTTGTAGATGTTATGATCCTGAGTCTGACAACTCAGTGTTTAGGGTTTCCTTATATTGTTCTATGTTCTTGTTTATTCTGGTTATGTCTTTCGGTAAGGTTTGTCATTTGTTAGGTTTCTGTTCTGAGCCTACTTGCTCCCACTTCTCTGTGTTCCTTCTGTCTGTCCATGGTGTCACACTGTCTGCTCGTGGATCTGTCTGTTAAGTTCAATGCCTTGTCTGGTTCTGTGTCTGTGAGTTTCCTGTTTTATTCTGAAGGTCTCTTTCACATGTGAGTGTTCTCAGCTTTATGTCTGTGTCTCGTTAGCCCTGATTTCTCCCAGGTGTGTTCCCCTCCTCTCTCCCATCCCATAATTACTCCTGTGAGTATTAAAGCCCTGTGTGTTCTCCTGCCTGTTGCTGGTTCCTCTTTGTTGCTTCCCCGAGTCTCCCTGCGGTTCTGTTCTGGTTTCAGGTTAGTTGTGTTAGTTTTCCCAGTTTAGGTTTCTCTTAGGTTTTGTTTTGTGCCTGCTACATTCCGGTTTGTGTGTCCATCCTTATTAATAAAGCTCACTTGCATCTGAAGCTGCCTGCCTATTTGGTCCTCTATTAAAACTCACACGGCTTGCCCTGCTACCCGTGACCGTAGATGATTTATTGTTTCATTTAGTTACATAACTAAAACTAGGAAATAATGTCAGTATTATTTTAAACAAACATTATAGACTATAATTTAATTAACATCAGTGATCTTGGTTTACACACGTATCAGCCTTTGTTTAGTAGCCTGGCTCCTTTTTCCACTAAAGTTTATCTTAATAACAGCCAAACCAGAGTTTGACATTTTCTCATGAGCAGGAAAGCTTTGTTCTTCAACACAGCCTGCACTGGTGTAGGTAGGCTTTCTTCTTGTTTCTTCACCAGGCTTCTTGAAGGACAGTCGAAAGATCTTCTTTGCTTGAGGTTCAAGCTCTGGGGAGGTCAATCCATTATTGTTTTCTTTTTGTCACGTAAACCAAATGTCCGCAGTATTTAAAACCTAGTTCAGATTAATCATGAGCCTCATCACATTGCCACTCTTTGGTTTTAGAAGTGAAGAAGACTCCCTTTTGGATGAGAGGTGAAACGTCTTCACGGAACCTAAAGAAGTCTGTTGGATTTCTTGCTCCTTAAACTTAAACCAGGACCTGGATGAACCGACACAGACGTGGTGCAACATCAGCTGCATACAAAGAGTTTTCTGTTTCATTTGTGAACATCCATTTTTGTTGTTGTTGCAGTAAAACTCAGTAAATGTGTTGTTTTGTTGCAATACTGACACCATTTAAAATGTTATGACAGTGAAGAGTAGCACGCTGAGGTTGTAATAATCATCTTGTTTGCCACATAACCTGGTGCAACTGTTAAATTAGTGCCAGATCATTAAATTAATATTTGATTTAAATCTATATGATGCTTTTACTAAGAAACATACTCATGCATAAGCAACACGTTCTCACTCCAAACGCGTAACATCTGATGCCATGTGACAAATCGTCGGTATGTTACGCTTTCAGCCCCCCAACACGTTCCTATGTTATGCGTTTGAAACAGAAGGAAACATGAGAACCATTTGGACTGAATCTACAATGTACATTTATTTTACTTTCTCATCATGAATTGCTTTGGAAAACACACAAGGTTAGGCATGAGGTTAGGGTTAGGGCTGGAATACATGGCTGGAACGTGAGCTACCGCCGGCAGCATCCTTCTATTGGATTCCATCCACAATCGGGCACGTGTCATGGGGACGCGGAAGGTTACCTTTAGCTTTCCCATGGAACGCCTCAGGACGTGACAAATCGTCGGCATGCTGGCATAAAGTCTTTATTAGATAACTGTTTGAAATCATTTTTCTTCAGCTTGTCTCTCTCAGTGCACATGCTGCCTCTTTTGGATTTATTTCAAATGTAATCTTCAGTGTTGTTTAAATATTGTAGATATGAATCAGTTTAAATACATATAACCAACTTTCCGTCTGACATGTTTTGTGTACTTGCTGTCTGTGGCTTCAGCCATCCATGACAGCGAGTCTGCTGCAGCTGTTGCATGTGTGTAAAGAGTTAAACGTGTGTGTGCAGTATGAGCAACCAGTGGGAATGCTGCCAGTTTCAGTCGTCCTCCAGGGCAGAAACTGTGGAATGTGTTTGAGGAGCAGCACTGAGGTTTCTCTAATCACTTTTATTGTTCCGCTGATCCTGATCCACCAGGCTCACAAGGTTGACTGTTGTTCTTCATACGTCTGCTCTTTAAATAGATTTATCTGGCTCCAGGATTTTCCCTCCCACAAACGATATTTCATCATTCTCTGCTTTCTCCCTTATGCACGACACAAATGACTCGGAGTTGCTGACAGTGGCCAGTTGCCACCTAACAGCTTTGAACATGCAGGACATGAGTGCAGAGTGATTGCAGAGCAGAGCACAGTAACAACAGAGCAGGGAGTCGTGTTGTTTCTGCACTTTCAATCTCTCAGTAAGAACTTAAACATTGTTCAAAGAAAGATCATATTAAAAAAACATAACACAGTAGCACATGGATCAAGATGATTGTGAGCCAGTCACAGAGGAATAAAAATAGGATGGAAACGTGTTTGTGGCTAGGAAAGTCAGTGTTCAACCTCTGGGCACCAACAGTTTCTGATAATAAATATTCATTGACATTGACGTTTGCATAAATGCTCAGACTAAGACTACATGTGTAAATGGAGCATTTTTAGAATGAAAGAAGCATGTCATGGAAGAAAATAGCACACAAAGCTCTAAACAGCCAATGCATAGATAAAGAATGCCTGTGCCTGTAGATTAGTGCCACAACTATAGTTAAACTTCTTTGCAGATACTGTGAACTAAAGAAAAATCTCTGGTTATAACCACAGAATAGGGCTGTGCGATATGACCAAAACCTCATATCCCGATATAAGACATCTATCGTCCGATAACGATATAAATCACAAAAATGGAACATTTTCTGTAAATTCTGTGAATCTCGGGCAGCTCGTCTTGCGGGAAGTGTTTCCAGCTGCGCGTCGTGTACCTGGAGTCGAGTGTTTTAACCGATGCATGAAACGATACATTTTTAGACATAAGTTGTAACGGCCGCTGTTTTTTTTGTGAGTATTTATTACACGGCGTGCTGCGAGGAAAAGCCTGTTCTAACGTTTGAGTCTAAGGACTATTTTTTAGCACCTGGCGGCTCCTTTTTACTTCTCATCCGTAAATAATCTGCTCTTTCACGTGATTCAGTTTATTTTGAAAAGTCTCAACAGGATCTTGAGCTTTATTGTGAAAGGTTTATGTGGAACATAAACAAGCGGACATGCGATGCTGTTACCGTCGTTGTTGTTAACCACGACGCATTAAAACAGGCGCTTGCCCGTCTGTAGTGTGGTTATATTAAATATAAGAGAAAGAGAGAACTTTAATAAATTAATATAGCCACTACATGGACTATCAAAACGCTGATAAAATATTGCCGTAAACAGTTTATTTTGTGACACCACGAAACAAACAATAGCGTAAAATGAAACGATAGACGTTTTTATATCATCATCCGATATATATCGTTATATCGAACAGCCCTACCACAGAATATATACATAGGTTGCAACATGTGTTACTGCAACACTAGCATCTGTTACTGTGACTCTTGTGACCTAAATAACTGCAGAGAGATATGATAGAAACCTAATGCTTCCAACAAATACTCCATCTACATTTGATAAAAGGTTTCAGCGTGTACACTCATTTGGTGTCTACCTGATCTTCTCCCAGTGTCCTGCTCTCATGTTTGTGTTACCTGTTCTTAAAGTTGTCTTTGTAATTGTCTCTCTGTTTTATGCTTTTTTTTCCAGCCCTCTTGGATTTCGGCGTGGGGTCCTAACAGCAACGATTCGTCGGTGCGTCCAGCTCGCACACGGAGGCAGCTGCACTTCAGAAATGAGTGGGCAACATGGAGCGGCTGGTCTGTGTGCTCACGCACCTGTGGGGGCGGAGCATCTGTGAGGTCACGCACCTGCATCACAAGGTTAGCACGGGAGAAAATACGGACAGTTTTCAAAATTTTATGCGACGTTTCAGTCAGACTTTTTTTTTTCAGAAAAACCTTCATAGAGATTTTTGAAGGGATATGAAATTTATATTTTAACATTTTTAAGCCACAGTGTTTCCTACTGTTCTCTTACCTAATCCTATACATCTCTTTTATTTCTGTGTCCCAGGAATCCAGTGGGTGGACCATGTGCAGGAGATCCCAGACAGTACAAGATCTGCAACACCAAGGTCCTTTCAACAAAAAGGCTTTTGGTCTTTATTTAAAAAAAACACGCACACATTTTATGCAAACAGTGTAGAGCAATGGCTAATGTTTGCTCGTGGAGGAATGTCCAGGGTATAACGATCAGCGACTTTCAGGGTGTGATCTGGAATTTCACTGACAGTTTAACCTGCGTCTGCACCGCGGCGGCGGTCCTGCCACTGTTTGCGCTTCATGATAAAGCAATAATGTGTCTCTGTAGGCAGAGTAATTGTTACAGTGTAGCAATCAAAACGGTTTCACTGAGAGAGTTCAAAATCAGGTAGACGGTTCCTTCGATGTGAAGCCTATATTGTATGGCATGGTCGTAACAAAGGTTCATCCTCAAGGACGTCAGGGTGTTGATGCTGTGTGTCTGTGTGTGTGCAGGACTGTCCCCCTGGCTCGGAGGATTTCCGAGAGATGCAGTGTGCTGCCTTTAATGACAGGCCGCTGGTGGCTGGCAACTCCTTCAGATGGACCACCTTTCATGGAGGTCAGTGAGATGATTCACCCTCTTTCTACTTAAGACTTCTTCAGTATATGTTGTTGTTTTTGTTGTGCAGTGAAGAGATCAGTTTTGGATGTAACTAGTCCCACGTGGCTTGTTATAGAGTCACCATATGAATGCTGAGACAGATGGCTCATTTATGCAATGTGGGGTTTTTATATATGTATGAAAATTTTCTAAGCCCACAGTTTACTCTCTGCAGGCATCATTTAATCACCAGATCGAAGGAAAAATGGTTTTCTTTCAAAAGATGCTTCCTTGAAAGCCAGCGAACGTTCCTATTCGATCTACAGGCCTCTGAGGAGAAGAGTGATATCTAACATGGATTGAAAGAGAGACTTTTTTCTATGTTGTCTTCAGAAGCACGTTTTAAAACTAGAAAACACAAAAAACCCTGCACACCAATAAAGCAATTCCTGGGCACTCGTGGCTTTTAGACCAGATATATTTGAAATACAGTTTTTCTACTACTTGTGGGCATCGTGATGGGACAGATGGCACCACACTAACACCATAAGCAGCCTGCTCGGTCCTAACACTGAATTTAAACCACGACTGTAAAATGAAATGGTTTACTGTAAGGGGACTCATCATTTGGGCGCAAAAGGAAGTCAGTTTCCCACAGTTTGACTGTGTCAATATGTTCCCTTCTTCGTTAATCATACATAACAAACCACAAATCTTCAATAAAACCCATCAAACAAGTTAGTGCGTATCAAAAATCCACAGTGAGCTGAAAAGTCTATCCTAATGTGTCTTTTGGGCTTAATCTGTGTAGAATATAACAAACTACAGCAAAATGTCTGGAGATGAATTGAAAAAGTGTTCCCTAATAACATTCAGAGCCTCGATGAGCATATAAAACAGCGCTTTTTTCTGTTTTCCAGGGACTCAGATGTATAGCTTGTGGATGTGCAGAGACTGTGTTTTTTAAGGCCCATACAGACTGTAGCTAAACAATAAAAAAGCTCAGCAGCTGTACGCAGCTGTAGTTTGTGTGTTTGTGGCAGTCGTGTAGCTCGCACATCCTGCTGTGGCCTACTGGAAGTTAAATCCCAGGACTTTGTTGCTGTTCGTTCAGTTTGCTCTCTTTCTCCATGTTCTGGTTGTTTTTGCTGTTCAGTCACCTCCCCCGCTGCCTCTTTGCTTCACCTATTTCCCCATAATATTATAATGAGCCACTGACTGAATATCTTCTCTGCCAGGCTCTAACCCCTGTGAACTCAGCTGCTTGGCCTTGGGTCACAACTTCTACTTCAACTTTGGCCGAGTGCTTGACGGCACAGCCTGCGACAAGGACTCAGGAGCAGTGTGTGTGAACGGACGCTGCCTGGTGAGTGGTACCCGGTCTGTGTGTGTGTCAGTGTTTCCTATGTTTACCGCATAGAAGATTTAAAGCAGACCTATTATGGATTTCCTTGTTTTCTGTCATAAGCAATGCCAGATGCTTATGTTGAACATGGCCGAGGATTCAGATACGAAGGTCAGTCTGTTTCAGGTATTTTTTCCTGCTCTTGGGTCAGTATGATGTCACGGAGAGGGGATATTCCTAATATGGGCACTTGATTTTCACACCTGTGACTGGACTGCAGATGTCACGTCCGGTCTATACCAGGAATGCAAAAATCAGGATATTTTCTCACCACACTATAGTCTAAAAGTTAAACTATTTACATGTTTTAAAGTCATTATACAGTAATTTGATTTTATATGTGGATGCTTTGTGCCAAATTGAGAGTTACGGTTAATTTTTGTTCCTTTTCTACTAAAAAACAAATAATTTCACTTTTCTATCAAATAAATATTATTTGAAGAGAGTTACGTGTCCATTCAGTCATCTGAGGTGCTCCGGCACTCAGTCACATGTCTATGGAAAAAATGAACAGGAGCTGTACTTCTGGAAACAGAAATCCTTAAAAACTCATCCAAGCTTTCAAATGACGGCGATGTCAAAAGAAAACTGGCCCGAGTCTCTTGTGCCTTCAGCTCCACTCTGTTGAGGCATAAGTGATGTTGACCAGTCTCACTGGAGCTCTCTGGAGAAGTGAACTCCATGCTGTGCGTTTGGACCACAGTTCTCTCATCAGTGTAGACTGCAGCCTTCAGTTAGCATTATGGCTCTGCTGAGCTCTCCACAATCCCACATCTAGCCTGTCCCCTTCTCACCTCTCCTACCCTCACACGGATGGGGACTGGGTAGGAAACAAACGTGTGTCTCGTGGGTCCTGGAGCCCGTGTGCTGTTGGGACATGCATATATAACACTCAGCAGACACATCTGCTGCAAGGGAGGACGCTCACTGCTGAAGCTATTTTTACACAGCCCACAAAGGATTAATTTGTGTCTGTGTTTACATATGCTGCATGTGCATACGTGTGTATTTGTGTGTGAGCATGCTCACATGTTGCGTGTGGCGCATATAAGAGGATTTATGGGCCACAGATTTGTGCTGGCCCAGGTCAGAGCTGCCCTGGGCCTGAAACAAGAAGCAGATGCAGCCTGCAGCTCGTGGAGTCCTGCAGGTAACAAACTAAGTTCAGGCAGGTGAACACATGAACACAGGACCGTATGTGTGCAGTGTAAGTGTAGATACTCCTTCACAGCTAAAACTGCGGTGTTTCTTTAATGTACACCACACAAATTATCTAAACTCTTTTCAGTTTAAGAAATTATTTCATTCTGCAATTACTAGCTATGTTTTAGCTGCTCCCTAGCCACAGCAGGCAGCACCACAAGCTTGATTTGGTATGCTTTTTACCCTGGATGCCCTCCTGATCCAACTCCAAAGTGGGTTTATTGTCTTTGGCTGGAATGGAGAGTCCATCAGATTGGCTGGTTTGTTTTCGCCTGCCTCAAGTGGCCACTTGAGAAACTGCAGATTTTGATACTTGATTAGTTTTGACTTTAAGAAAAAGAATAGTTTTCTCTTCAGCTGTGGAGGTTACCAGTGGGAAAGTTGTCATCCTTTGGATGACATAAATGATTAAATTACTGATTCTGATTGTTCATTTCCTGTTGAACGACTAAACAGTGAACTGACCGTATCAGTTCTAGACTTTAGAAGAGCTGCTCAGCAACAACTTCAACCATTCAATTTGTCAATCTGCTTTCATGCCTAAATGTCACAGCATCCATGTCTTCTTCTGTGCAAACAGATCATGTGTTTTTAATTAAATAGGTTCTCCAGATTATTGATCTCTAGTGTGGGAACCTCTTTGATTGGGTTGCACAGCAGAAATGGAGACCACAGAAGAGCGCAGCCACTGTCGTCTTTCTAGCAACAGATTCTTCACACACCATAAAACATCCTGCTCGTCTTCGCTGCTCTTTACTCTGGCATTTACAGAGACGACTCCAACCCACTCTGCCCTGTTGAGGCCCTGGGGTACAGTTTTTCCACAAAGTAAATGTTTGTAAGAGCAAGCAAATGACAGAGAGAAGCAAATACGAGAAAGAAAGGAAGAGTGAAGAGAGCTGAGGCCCGGCAGTAGATGGAGGTGACTACATGGCAAAGAAAAGGCCAAAAGAAAGGTTACTTCTCAGCAGAAAATGCACGCTGTTAGGAAAAACAGGAGCGACATTAAGTCAAAGCAAACTGTCCTTCTCAAAGCGTTTGTCTGTGTTTACCACAGAAACCTGGCTGTGACTTCATCTTAGGCTCAAAGCAGCAGGTGGATGCCTGCATGGTGTGTGGCGGACACAACGCCACCTGCCTACACCACAAGAGTGTGTACCAGAGCAACAGTCTGGAGGCAGGTAGGAAACACACACACACACACACACACACACACACACACACACACACACACACAGAGTAATAAGGACTGAAATGCCAACACAGCGTGGGGATATTTCCAGTCCCCCCTTTGTGTTTTCCTACCCAAATGCTATTAGTCATTCAAGCTCAGGGAACTGTTCCCTGATGAAGTGAACATTAACCATGGCAACACGTTTACCAAATAAAAGCAGTTGGCTGCCTTCCAGGAGGAATCGAGCTAACAACAGCTACAAAATTACAGTTGATTCAGGAAAGAGGAGGAAGAACACAAAGTTCTTTGGGCTATTCTGGCTTGGTGCCACCACAACATGTTCTACCTTCATCAGCACTTGTACTCGAGAGGATAATGTGGGCTATGACTGCATGCTGGGAGGAAGTTTTCAGAAGTTTGTTTGTATGCTCTATCTGAAAAGAGAAATAACAGGTTAGAAAACACAAGTATTCACTACTTAAACCCGGCCAGTGAACAAACTGTTTCTAACTCAGTTCACTTTGAAATTTAATCACATCAAAATGTATTTCAATTATTAAACAGAGCAAAAACAAAGCAGCAGGCAGAGCTTGGACTTGGACACATGTTCTTCAAGTTCATCTCCAGCCTCTTGACTTCATCCTGCATCTGTGTGCTATGTTCCCCCGTATACTGCAGACAAACCCCACACACTGTGTTGCAGTATTATACTGCATTGTTTGCCCTGTTTAATTGAATTAAGAATTCAAATGTCAATGTAAGTCATCAGCTGGTGAGCAAACCATGGAATAGTCTGTGTATACAGAGGTCAAGACTTCATAGACTTCATAGTATTGGTATTTAACCAAAATTCTTTTTGCAAAAACACCAGTTGCCATCTAGTGGCCTTGCACGTTTAAGGCACTTTGGCTACATTTTGATGTGATTTTTGGCAGCTTTTGGAATTTGTTGGCTGCTTTAGCTTCAGAATAGTTACTTTTTTAACTCATGTGAGTTTGGAGGTTTGTTTAGGGGGCATTCCTATTCAGCTGGGAGCATTCATCTAATGAATGGAAACCTCAACATAATACAGAGCTTTCATGTTATTCTCAAACATTAATGGTCTGAGAATAATAGATGGAAATAAACAAAAAATAAGCACCAGATTCTGGGGAATTAAACCTAATTACAAAGTGCCTAACACCTCAAGCGTGTCACTTTGGCTCTGTAACAGTGGTTCCCTCTCACAGCTCATTGTGTAGGCAGACCAGAGGTGATAGATGAAGTCCTGGCCCATAATGGCTCAGACTGAGAATGAAGAACACGGCTGATAAAGGCTGCTTTGTTTGGGTGACTCAGCAGCCTCCAAGGGCTCTTTTTCCTTTCCTTCACCAGTGGAGGGAGGGCCGATGGGGCAGCACGAAACGGTTCTTTCCGAGCTCTAAATGCACATGGCCCCGAGCTCATCGCTGATCACATGCCTGCCACTTTGACATTTCAAAACACTATATCATCATAAAGCCCTGCAGATTCACCTCGAGAATAGTTTTTCTCCGAAACTGGTGAAAAGAAAAACCAGAGTGAGACACTCTTTATACGTCATGATAAATGAGCTTCATGCTGTTGATGCTTTGCGCTCGGGGACACACCTGAGACTTTTTCTATTTCTTGAAGTATCAGTCTGTAAGGAATGGTTGGGAGTTTAGAGTCCATATTTCTTTTTCTTTGTGCTTAATTAGGTTTAATATTACTGACATTACAGATCCCGTTTGTCTTATAATGACACGTTACAAACCATCGCCTGCAAGTGTACAGCAAGCTCTTTTAAAAGCTATAATCATGTGATTAATAATCCAGGTTTTCTGTGAGTCACTGATTACAGAGCACTTACTGACTGCTCAGTTACACAAAGGTAGACCCTGAGTATCAGGTGCACAGTACAGTCTGAATGCTTCTAAATATCTATTATGTTTGAAAAATGACTGAATGTATCAAACTAGGATAATAGTACAGTCAATTGTCTGGAGATGTGCAAGTTTATATCCTTTCAAATAACATTCAGTAATGCATAGCAGGTTTTTGGTATCCACCATGTGACCATTTAGAGTTAAGGGTGGGGTTAGGATAGCATCCACAGCATTTTGTGGAATTTTCACATACATAAATGAGAAAAAAGTTCTAAATGATAGAAAAACATTAAGATGTTTAAAAAATGTTTAAACTTTGTGACTGCTTGTTTAGCATGGCACTAAAATGGTAAATGGACTGGTTCTAATAAAGTGGTAGTCTAGTAATCTGATGTTGGTGATTTAGTTTTTAATAAAAGAGTTTAAACAAGTAACTGAGGGGTTGATTTCTGTCAGGAGGCTGGTCTGGTCTTGTAAGATGACTTGAACGTGAAGATGCTTTAACATTACAGACACATCCTTTTTTTGGACCGTATATATATAAGTAAACACTTCAACCTGCAGACTGAGCCATAACTCTCTCTGCAATCCCAGAGGCAGATGTGGGATTATTGTTTAACCAACAAGCTTCTTTTAGATGATTTCTAGGATTTTCTTGTTTCCTGGCTTCCTGGTACTTTGTATCCAAGCTTGCTGTTGGTGTTGTATTTGTGTAGTTGATTGGAAAAAAAATGGCCTTTTCTGAATGTGGTGCAAGAAATCCAATTAAAACCAAGCTTTTACTCTCTCTGTCAGGCGGGCCTTTTGGATACAATGAAGTGGCCATGATCCCTGCTGGAGCAACTCACATCCGAGTCACTGATAACAGCAGGAATTATCTTGGTAAGAATCCGTCTACAGAGCCGCTTTTTCTCCCTGTCTCTCTTTTACACACACCAGGCCTGCTGTGCGTTTGACTTTCAGCTTAATTCCATGGCAGTCTCTTTGCATCACTGTTTCATAGCTGCAGTGTAAATCAGTTTTATAATTCAGGTCTACACATGCCGTGGCTTCCTCTCCCTGGAGACAGTGGGCTTGACGGTCCCATTTGGTTTCTGGACCCTCTGAACGTTTCCCAGGCAGCAAAATAACCGAGGGCATCTATTCTCATCACAGTTTATGAGACCAAAATAAAACACGCCCTGAAACAGAATGCGCTGTTGTCTTTAAAGAGACCCTCATAAAGGCTTTATTTGACCACTTGGTTAAGACAGGTGAAGGTACTTGTTTCCATCCATGTCATGGAAAATCTCTCCCCTCCAGGAGTCACTGCTGCCATATATAGTCAGGCGCCATATTTCTGCTTCTGGCATCCGGCCTTTGCCTCAACTTCACCCACTGATAAGGAAACATAACTGTTTCCTTTGATGTCGAAATACATGCCAGTCTTTCCTTCATTCTCATGACCTGTTCTTCCCTTGCACAGCCCTGCAGAATGGACGCTCCCAGTTTTTGATTAATGGAAACTGGAAGATCAGCGTTCCAGGCGAGTACAGTGTAGCAGGGACTAAGCTGGTTTATCGGCGCTCAGCAGACACCTGGGAAAGCTTTGAGGTGCCAGGACCCACCCAGGAAGACCTTCATCTAATGGTAAGAATATCTGAAGATGCTGGAACAGAACAAATATATATAATTCATTGTGGTAATGTACAGAACCAAAATTAGAAAAAAGTTGTCTCTGTCCAAATATTTATATATATTTTATAAATCAATTACATGTCTGTTTTGACACTGAAGACTTTAAAACAGTGGCGTGTCTAGAAAACCTTTGTTGGGGGGGCCAGGTAGGGGCACAGATTTGGAGAAAGGTGGCAGATGTAATTGGCAGATAATGTTAAAAAAGAATTCTGCCAACCGTTAACCATAATTCAATAACCCTGTAAACCTAATAACCGAATGTGCTTTTAACTCTTATTAGAATGAGATTTTAACCACTACAGAGCAAAGTCTTTAGATATTGTGTTGATAAAGTAAAAGAGATACAATCAGTGCTTTGTCAGTGTTTATTCAGCATTCAAGGACAGCAATATTTCCATAGTATTTTTACTGACATATAGTGCACATATGTTTTGAGCAAAAGCATTTTTGAATATTAAAATATGAACATTTTTAACATTCAATTGGCAAATTAGCCAATGCAAAACTTTATCTGCCTATTAAAAAAAGAAAATCATCTTCTCACAAACTGGTGTTTGATTTTGAAACAGGAAAAAAGTGGGGAAACAAATGAAAAGACTAACATTTGAATGAAACCTGAAAGCAAGTAAATACTTTCTATGCCTTCTTTTGATAATGTTTTCAGTATAAATTGTGCAAAAATAAACTTCTTGAACTTTTAATATGAGTCTGTTACATGTTAGGAAGACAAGAAGTACAAAAACATTTGTAAACAGCAGCACTTGGAGTTGCAAAATATTTATGTTTTGAAAGTGAACATTTACTCAAGTACCTTGACAATATAAACATCCCTTCCTTGCATTTTCCTTCTCACACATACCTTCATTTGTAGAACTCACAGGTGACAATGATGACTGCTGCTCTGTCCACCTTTCCCTGACACTGCTCTCTGCTTCTGGTTGTATTTTAGCCTTCTTAAGAAAGAAATTCTCAATATTTTGAGATCTTTTCATTCTTTTTCTTCTTTTATCTCTACTGGTTGGCCCTGAAGTAATAAAGCCAAAAATTATGTCACAAACAACAACTTTCCTGATGTATGACCTTGACTAGAAGTCAGGGATGTCAAGTTCTGGCCCTCATGGACCCCTATCATGCACGTTTTAGATGTTACCTATACCAACAGAGCCAATTCAAATCAAATAATCCCCAAACACCTAGTTGTGCAGAAGTCTGTAAATGATTCTTTTAATCAGCTGTGTTGAAGTATGGAAACATCTGAAACCGGGAGGACAGGAGCCTTGAGATCCAGAACTGCACATCCCTGCACTGAACATGGCACAGGGGTGATTTACACTCTATTCATAACATGGAGCTGGCAGATAGGATAAGTAATGAGAGAAATTAGATAGACCGCACAGTGTAGTGTAAGTGCTGCGTTATGGTCAACTTTGGTAATATTGATGTATAAAGAACAACACTGGCTGATGACGAAGTACAGTCAGCTGGCATGGTGACACTGCCAGTATTAACCTGCAACCAAATCTGCAGCTCCACACAGCAATGTTACGACTTGGATTATATCTTATAACTCATAACTCTTATGCTAGCTCCCCCCAGCAGCCTACTGTCTGAAATATGCGATGGCTGCAATAATTCTTTAAGTGTTATTTTTTCCTTGGTATTCTAATTTCACCGAAATTTACTAAACTCAACAAACTTAATATTACTTACTGGGACATTTATTCTCTCATTTTCTTTTCACCTCATTTTCTCATTTTCTGTGGTGCCGTCTTTCGTGCTTGGCTCTCCTTTCTTTGCTAACGTGATGCTCATTAGTGATGTTCTATTCAATACTCGAGAATCACTTTACTGACTCGTGAATCATGATTCACAAGCCCAACTGACTCACTGACTCATCCCTGTTGCTGTTAGCAAACTAATTTCATTAGTAGAAATATATCTAGCTTATAATTAAAATTGTGGGGAAAAAAACAACAGCCAGTTTCTTAACAAAAAAATTTCTGCTCTGAACTGGAAGAAAAAACCCTGAGTAGAAGCTCACATCAAGACAATAGCTCCTCTGTTCACAGTAGCATCGCTCTGCTAACATGCTAACAGCACATTTGAGTTACTCACCCCCTCCCTTCACGTGCTGAATCGTAGCGTAAGCCAGTGGTTCCCAAACTTGTTTTGCTGGGCCCCCCTTTGTTTTACATGAAAAATGTTCGCGCCCCCCCCCGGCGCGCACACGCACAAACACATCTTCCAACCACACACACACCCATATTTTGCACCATTGCGGTTTATTTCACACCTCAAACATTTAGTAAACAATTAAGCAAATACAAGTAATCTGCAATAAATTACAGGTAGTAATAAAATAAACTACT